TTAAATAAGTAAATAAAATTAATTATTTAAATAATACATAAAATTATTAAAAATAATATATTCCAATATTCATTTCCTTTGGAAAGGGGATGATAATGCGTAAATTATAATATTATATATAGAAACTATAAGCTTATTATTTAAATGTAATATTAAATAAATAAATAAAATATTATGTATAAACTTTTAAATTTTAAATAAAAAATTAATTATATTCAAAATTTCTAGAAGCTTTATGCTGCTTAAAGTCAAGAATTCGACGCTGGGATTTAAGATAGGATTTTTTTTAAATTTATGTCTTAAGTACATAGGTTAAGGTTATTTTTTTTATAATATATTTACATAAAAAAAAGTAAAAATAAATATTAAATTTAAAATTAATGCTATTAATTAAATAATTAATAAATTAAATTTTATTTTTTTATTTTTTTAAAGATTTTAATCTTTACTCTAAATATACAAATTAAAAAACTCTTTGAGATAAATCCAAATAGAGTATCTTCTCTAAGATGACTTGATTCTACTCTACGTGTGGCATTAATAAAACTATCATTTTTTTTAATGAATAAGTACAAATTTAAGGAGAGGACGAGAATTTAAGAATTAAAAAAACTATCATTTTTTTAATTAATAATTTTTAATTTATTAATTATTTAATTAATTTCTTTCACTTAATCAGAAAATGGAGCTCTAAGAAGGATTAAAAAAATCAAGGAACAGGAAAAGGAGGAATGTAACCCCAGATCAAAAAAATTCTGCTTGTCACGTATTTGTTAATTACTTGATCCTTTATTATTATTATTATATGAATCTATGAATGAGTTCTAGGACATTCAATTTTAATTGTTGTTTGTGTTGTGAATAGACCGTAAAATTTTGTTATTAAGATTAAATGTTGAGATTTAAGTAATATAGAGGTACTTCTGATGTAAAAAAAAAAAGAGTAATATGGAGATGTGTTGGCTTATTGAACCACTGGAATTGATTTTGTTATATTTGAAGGAATATTGTTGAAGTGTTTGTTGCTTGGATTTGGTTGTGGTTTTATCATAAGAAAATGTCCTTTCATGAGATCAATCCTCTTTTGTTTTTTAATAACTTTTTTTTTCTTTTATGTTCATTGCTCTATTTCTCTTCTCTTTTTTATTTTCATCTAATTCTTGTATTCTCCTTCTTATGATGTCTAGATTTTAGGCCTCTATCTGTTAGTTGTAGTTGAATTCGTGATGCTTTTCCTGTGACATTTTGCACCAGATTTCAGTAGTTATTATTATTTTTCTACGGAACTAAATTTGGCCATTTTTGTTTAGCAACATCAACAATGTGACAAATAATCTGTTTAAATTTTTAAAGTGTTGTGTTTTTCTCTTTTTTCTTGTTTCCTTGGTAAGGAAAATTATTAGAATTATATTTTCATATTATTTATACAATTGGTAGGTCTACAATTGCCGAAGTTGTTGAGCGTCTAATCTACAATGGCTTAATATCAAGTTAGAATTACTGCCACATCATTACAACCTGACCCAGTCCCAATGCAAAACAATTGTGTATTTCTACTTTCCATGGAAAATTGCTCGTATTATTTGGATTTAATAATACATATTAAGCATTTCTTTTTTGAGTCCAATCAAACATTTTTCTAGCTGATATTTTCAACACATAAACTCTGTTTAACTTGTGACTTCATAATACATGATTTTGGGATGGCAGGTAAAGTTAACATCCTTAAATAGAAAAAAATGTAAAGTTAAAATCCTTATTTACACCTTTACTCTTTTTAAATGAGTCAAATTATATTAATATGAAGTACAAGAGGTACTTTTACCCATATATAAATCTTATATAAAAGTTGTTTTCTTACATAAGAAACCTAGTCCCACAAATACAAAAATTAAGCAATAAAATCCAAAGATAGACTAGATGCTAAAGCCATCTAATGCAAAGTTCAGGATTAAGGTACCACTAGGAGAATGCAAATACAGTCCCCTCCATCTTTCCATGGAGCCAAATGAAAGTTCTTCTTTGGATCATTTCAAAGGCTGCCATCTCGTCCCAAGAGCTTGAACTATGCAATTTTATCTATTTTAAATTCATATAGAGATATAATGAGTTAATAGGTAAAAATATGATTGGTATGTAGGAGAAGTTAGGTTTAATATAATTTGAGAAAGTATATTGAATGGAATAAGAAATCACATTGTTACATGTGTAGTAAATATCTCAAAAGCATAATAATTTAAAATCTATCTTGCTTTGTTGTGGCAAGATCAAATACTTTAATATCTCATATTTTTAGTTTGTTATTCTTTTTAGTTATTTTTAATTAAAAATTTTGTCTTTTTCAATTGTTTGAATAAATTTAGGATCAATTATTTTAAGTATTTAGGTAATCACAATCATTGTAGGTTTGAAACTTTTCTCATCACCTTATTACTTCTGTGACTAGTGCACTTTTTAATGAATTTTAGTGCGTCAAGGTGCAAATTCCAAGCAATATAAAAGGCGAAAAATGAAAAGAAAGAAGGCTGTCTCTAAGAAAGAGAGCTGTCTGCTTTCTTTTAGAACAAAGCTCCAGCAAAGTTCCAATGGGTTAAAATTATATTTCTATTTTATTTTGAAAAGAACAATGATCTGTTTGGTTGTTTGTGACTTTTGTTGTACAGAGCTGGTTGCTGTAAAATTGTACAAAGTTGCTGAAACTTAATTGCTATTATATCAAATGCTTTATTAGTATTTTAGGGAGCTTAAGTGTTGACTCAATGTACTCCAAAAGGGGGGTAAATTGGAGTTTCAAAAATTCTCTCATTTTGCAACTACAAAACCAAAGTTAAAGAAAGTAGAGAAGAAGAGTTTGCACAATAAATTTATAAAGGTTCGGTTGAACCACTTGGAGTCTAGTCCTCTACATTGGCTTCACTCATCAAGGATTTCCTCCACACTCTTCACTAAGAAAAACAATCAATCCTTTTACAAGAAAATGAGTATTTCTCTCAAACCTCACCCCTTTAAAATGTAAACCCCACGAATCCTCTCAATAGATCACTCTTGAAGGAATAATCACACCCTCAAGAACATACACTAATAGAACAAGAAGAGGATTACAAGCAATGATCACTCAAAGATAAAAAACTGAAGTTAAGGCTTAAGTAGGTAGGTAAAGATATTTAATGCAATGTTCTTAAACTTGTTCCAGATCTGTTACCAACCATATTTATAGTCCCTTGCTTGAAAATAGCCGTTTCTAGCCATTGGGGGTCATTAAATGCTCTGCAGGACGCAAAGTTCAAGTTGCAGGATTGTCAGGAGAGTCGGCTTAACTTTCTCAAGCCGGCTCTGTACAGTCGGCTTACCATTTCTGCAACTAGCTTTGCGGGTTTGTTGCACATTCTGTTTTCTTCCACAACCAGCTGCAAAAAACATAAAGCAGGTTTTGGTATTTCAACTTTAAAAAATATTAATTATTCTTCAAATAAATCGATCGTTATGCATTAAATGCACCCTTACAGCCGGCTGCAAAGTTGGAGCCAGCTTTGCGTCTTTTCTCTGCCCGCACCAAACAACGGACCTTTAAATTTTTACCCGTAGAGCTGGCTACAGCTTTCAGAACCGACTCTCTGTACTTCCATTTCACCAGAGCCGATTGCATCTTTCAAGAGTATACTTTTTGCACATACTCAAGCTTTTCTAGTCCATTTTTAAGTGCAGTCCAAATTTACTTATTTTGCAATCTTTTGACATTTTAACTACACACTTAAATGAACCAATTAGTCACTCAAATGTGTTTTGTAATCATCAAAATCA